AGTTTCAGAGTTTCAGGCTTCTTATTGAGGTCTTTGATCCATTCTCCTTTTGGGGGACGTCTTTTTTTGAGACAGGGTCTCCCTGTGTAGCCCCAGCTGTCCTGGAACTCGCTATGTAGACCAGGCTGGCGTTGAACTCAGAGATCCACCTGCCTCTGCCTCCCAAGTGCTGGGATTAAAGGCGTGCACCACCATGCCTGACTCTCATTCTCCTTTTTGAATTCATTCTATGGAAAAATTGGCAGCAATTTTTTTACATATTATAATTTCTGTAGCATCTGATGGAGTATCAAGCAGGAGACAGTAGAAAGGGTCACATGGAGCATCTGCTGAAGAGTGCACAGACATCTGCCCATGGGCTAGGGATGTTTTTGAGTATTCGTAGAAGAATACTAAAACTAGTTTTAGTTTTAAGAACAGGAATAGTTATTTTTATTTTAAGAGAATAGATGATGATGGTTTTTAAAGGTAAATAGCAATATTAAATTTCTTCTAATCTCTTTTCAGGCAAGCACACGTCTACATAATTGCGGGGGCCTGCTTGTCTCTCGGTTTTCGATTTGCTGGTTCAGAAAATTTATCAGCATTTAATTGTTTGGTAAAAATTCTTGGTTTACTTTATTCTGTTGTGAGTTCTTTTTTTCTTTTTAAAAATCTACTTTTAACTTTGATTTTTTTTCTTTTATTTTTCTAGCATAAATTTGCAAATGATTTTATGACTTACTTGTCTGCACCTAATGCTTCTGTAGTAAGTTTTTTAAAATCCTCATTGTGAATAAAATACAACCCAAAATATAATAAAACTCAAAATAAAACTTCATTTAGTAATCCAGGTACTTAGTAGTTTCCAAATCCCTCTGCTGTTTGAATTTAAAACAGGAGATTTAAAGAACTGTCTCATCTTTGTATTTTGGTTTTAAGATACCTTTGAGAATGTGATTAACCTGGGATGATGCATATGTCTCTAATTCTTGTGAAAAGAGTATAAACGACAGGTATAACATGCATGGAATGGTATGCTTCACATTCTGTTGGTTTACAGCATGCCAGAACTGTCCTTTTGTAAAAAATTAATACTTAGTCAAGATCAGTTGCTCTTAAGACATTACTGCTTTGATGACAAGACTACAAGAACTTATTTCCTGATAAAGATGACACAGACCTATGTAATAGTATTTGTAATATTAAAAATTGTAAATATTAAGAATTCTCAAAGTAGTTAATTGTGATATGTCCATATGTTCTTATGCATTGGATATAGCAAAATCTCATATACAATTTTATGCTTACAAGTTATTAAAAGGGTTATATATAATAATATCAGAATTTCATTTATTAACTACGTACAGGAAAAATCTATAATGTTAATATAAATTCTCTGTGAATGGTAGGATTATTCAAAGTGAATATTCCTTTTGTGATGCTATATTTTTTGAATTCTCTCCATTGACCTTATATTTCATAGAATAATTATTTGCTTTTACAGGGCTTTTTTTCATAGTTGCAAACATTTGTAGTCTTCCCATGTTGAATAATCTAGTTTGGGCAATAAAAAATGTAATAGCCGTTAATGCAAAGTCATCTTTTCATATTATCAGACAAGACCTTACAACCTAGAAACTTGCCTGAGTGTGGTGCTACTGTCTCTTTCCATGGTAATGGCTGGCTCTGGGAACCTAAAGGTTTTACAGCTTTGTTGCTACTTTCATATGAAGACAGGTGGTGAAATGAACTATGGCTTTCACTTAGCCCACCACATGGCCCTTGGACTTCTCTTTTTGGGAGGAGGAAGGTAATGAGTATTGGAATTTGTCATTTTCCAGAAGAAGGCATTGGAGCCCCTGTAATTGAATTACTGACAGTTTTTAGCTGCCATGTGGGTGCTAGGAACTAAGCTTAGGTTCTTTGTAAGAGCAGCGTGAGCTCTGAACCACTGAGCCATCTCTCCAGCCCTTATAACTGCCCTTTTAAGTTAGTCTATCATTTTAAATAATCATATTTTATAGAAACAGAAAAACAATGTTTAAAACAGCTCAGTTTAAAAAATCCTGCCGGGTGTGCATTCCTGTAGTCCCAGCACTCAGGAGGCAGAGGCAGGTGGATCTCTGTGAGTTCAAGGCCAGCCTGGTCTACATAGTGAGTTCCAGGCCAGTTGAGGCTCTGGGGAGACCCTGTCTCAAAAAAGCCCCCCCCAAAAAAATCCTGTATTTTTAAGTCAGGAACTGGAAGAAGGTCATGTACTTTATGTGTGACTTGTATTACTTAAGTTTTTAGTATTGCTTCCTAGTACTTACTCCTGTGCTGATTTAGGTTAAAATCTTGGTTATTAATTCTGAGGTTGAATTTTAACATTTGTTGAATGTTGTTTTCTGCTTCAAATGTAGTTGATATTGAAATGGCCTAAGGACTGAAAGGAGAAGTGTCTAAATCAAGGATACACTTGTATTTCTCAAGACATCCACCCAGTATACTTTACAAAAAACACCACTC